TTGAGTATTCATACTTAACTGCTTTTGATTTTAAAAATTAACAAGCTATTTGCAATTGTGAATATCAATATGTGATTTGCAGTAGTGTTTATGTTTAGTAGGTAATTAGTTAATTTAAAAGCAATAGCAAAATTTGATTATGATATTTTAACAGTTCTTTATATAATTAAAAAAAATTAAGTTTCATTAAACTCAATTTTTTAAAATATTGAAGAGATACAGCTATTTTAATTTCTTAAAAAATCAATACATTTATTTTTCTATCTGATGGTTTGTTTTTTAGTTTTCCTTTACTGAAAAATTTTCTTAGAAATTATTACTATTTTATTAATATTGGATTGCAATTAAAAAAAATTTTAAAAATTATTTTATAATTTTTCTTAATAAAAACATATTCTTCCACTTGAATATGAAGAAACCAATTTCTGCTAGGGCGGTTTTTTACCACGGTTTATACCGCTATGGAAGAAACTTACCACCCTTCATATGTTCTAAATACAATAAACACAATATTATTTATGTAATTTGTGACATAAAATTCAAATTAACAAGTTTTACTAAAACTATTTCAAATTAACAAGTTTTACTAAAACTATTTCAAATTAACAAGTTTTACAACTTTCAAAATGAAAAGAATCTATATGATATATCAGTTTGGAAAATGTCTTGTTTAGATATCAATTTAATCATAATAAATCCAACAAGAAGAAAGACAAAATTATTTACAATTTGAAGCTCAGCAGAGCTATGCAATTATCACAGTTATTGTAATATGGAATTTTTTTTTCCTAGCAAAAAATGCAATAACAACAAATGAGAAGGGCTATAAAATACATTTCTCATTTTAAATTATAAATGTTAATAAAAATTATAACAAATAAAATACCTTTTTACATTAAAAGTAATTTTGTAATGTAAAAACAATTTTTTCCAAAACCAGAATGAAATTAAATGAAAAATGCATTCTATAAAAAAAAAAAAAATTAAGAAAAATTTATTCAAAAGAGGTCATCTATTTCAAGGCTTTCTTTTACATTTGGTAGCAGAAAAAGCATCAAAATTCAACTCGATTTAAAAACTCTTATTAAATTTTCAAAATAGAAACAGCTTTTTTTTCTTCTAGTTTTTCTATGACTTATGAAAATTTTAAAGCATAATTGAATTTCTGTAGTTAAATTTTAGAAACTTGAAATATATCTCTTATTTTAGGGGTCGAACAAATTTTATGTAAGCAAACTAAGGGGTGAGAAGATTTGATTATTTTTGCTGACAAAATGAGAAAGGTATGAGCAATGCTCGCGTAAAATGGTAAGTCTCCTTACTTTTGATTCATTTTTAGATGAAGAAAAAAATTACACTTTGAAAAATTGCAAATCTAAAACTAAAGCTTAATTTGGAGAGGGGGGGGGAATTGAAAAAAAAAAAAACATTTCTTCAAGGGTCAAGACTTTTGACTACAAAAGCAAAAAAAAAAAGATGTTTAAAGATTATTTTATTCAAAATTTAATAAATAAATTAACTGTTTGATGCAGATGGGACATCAGTGTCTCTTTTATAAATTTTTTCTTATGCACTAATTATAATTAATTTCAGATGCTTGAAACATATCTCTTATTTTAGGGGTCCTACAAATTTTATCTAAGCACCTGAGGGGTGAGAAGGTTTGATTATTTTTGCTGACAAGAAAATGATGTATGAGCAATGCTTGGATAAATCATTAATTTATTTTTAACTGTATCATCTTTGATTTATTTGTAACTGTAGTAAAAAATTACACTTAGGAAAAAAATTTCACTTTGAAAAATTGCAAATCTAAAACAAACAAAAAGTTTAATTTGGAGAAGAAGAAAAATTTAAAACCAATTTCTTCTAAAGGCTTTAAAAGTCAAGACGACTAGAAAAGCAAAAAAAAAAAAAAAAAAAAAAAAAAAAAAAAAAAAAAAAAAAAGAAAGAAAGTGATGTTTAAAGATTATTTTATTAAAAATTTAATAAAATATATTAACTCTTTGATGCAGATGGGACATCAGTGAATCTTTTAAATGTTTTTTTTTCTGATACTCTAATTAGAAGTAAAAATACGTTTTGGCACTTTTTAATTATAAAAAACAGTCTAATAATTACCTTAAAAAAATCTATTAGATTATCAGAATTATATTTGTACTAAAATATAAAAAAAATTAGTAGTTTGAAATTGTTTTCCTCATTCATGAAAACTTTATCAATATCTGATTTCGTAAATTAAAGAAATTTTAATGAAGATTAACTGTTTTTCTCAGATCTAAATAAATGAAAATAAGTGCAAATTTGAAAAATTATTGTTTGGAAGATTTCACTTTCAACGCAGAAAAGACAAGTGGTTCATGCCGCATTTCATAACCATAAATTATTAAACCGTTAAATATAATATTTTTTACTTAATTTGACCTAAACTAATACAAAATAATGAAAAAAGTGTGAAAAATATGTTCAATAAAAAATCTGCATCAAAGAGTCAAAATGTAAATTTTGTTTCATGCAAAGTTACATCAACTTGAATTTAATCTTAAAATTATATTACTACAGTCAAAGTGATGGTGAAAAACAAGGGAAAGATGTGATTTTCATACATAAATATTTGTGATTTGCTGACAAGGGAGAAACACATGCGTCTTATAGGGTTTTCAAATGTCTAAAAAAATTTTAAAAACGGTAACACTAAGAAAATATAAATCATTTAAAAATATTTGTGACCCTGTCAATTTATCATTTTTTCAAATAAAATATATTTTTATAAAAACTCTACCCTGCCATATCTCAAAATTTTAAAGTGGTATCTTGAAAAAAGAAATTCCTATTTGCTTTAATGTAAACTACTAAACTATTAAATATTTTAATGGCTTCTTAAGAGTTATTTTTAATCAACTAAAAAAATTAAAAACTTGTAAATTTCTAAAATTAAAAAAAATCTTAATAAGTTTACAAAATTTTGTCAAGTTGAAAATATTTCTCACGATTCTCTCTGCATATGATACATTTACCCTCAAATAGATCTGAAAATAACCACTAACCACATGGCAAGTAAACAAGAAAAAAAGGCGACTTAAATAAACAACCTTTTTCCCGTAACTTTTTTTTAAAAAATCGTTTAGTGATAAAAGTACATCAATGTAGAAAGAGATTCTGGAAAACATAGTTTTCATTAAAAAGTCCCTATTCAAAATTTTGATCCTTTAGAATCCATTAATTTCGGGTGAAAAGATTCATGTTCTTCAAACAAAGTTGTAAAGTAACTAAATATATTTTGCCTCCACAAATATTTTTACATTAAGTTCTTCAGTACGTTTAACTAAATTTTGTCACATAATCATATTATTTTGATTGTTAAATTAACTTTTTATGGCCTTAGATTATTTCTAATATGAAATGTTTCTAAAAATAAAATTCGCAAAACGTGGTCATTTAATGAAAAAAACTAATTGATATCGGTCACTAACTCATTAGGTTTGAGGAATAAGTGACTACCAAGTCACTGGAATCTACAGATCACTGGCTAGTACCTGAAATTTTAAATTTTCAAGTCTACCCGCAAATAAAGATGCATTAACCAATCAGGTTTAACTTTTGTATATGACATCACAAAATGCATAGTCATAGTACAATAACAGTGCAAAAAGCTAATATTTTCTCTTTATAATGAAAACATAACTGCTCAACATGATACTGCGTTATTCATTTCTATTTCATTGTTTATAATGCATCACAATTTCTTGTGTAAGCGTGGGGTTTGAAAAGTCAACTTATACACAAGGATATATGGTATTTTATTTAACTAATTTGCTTGTGTGATACATGTTCCCTACTGAAAGAAAATACCACATTATTCTGGTTAGTAATAAAATAGCTTTTTTTTTTCCTCATATCTTCTTTTAAAGATAAAATAAATATTTTATAATTTTAAACTGAATTGTTTAAAACATGAAATTTAATTTTGTAATTTTTAGCTCTTTCCAATTACTATGCTTGAAAGCAATGAAAACCATAATAAGGCTGTAATCAAAACTGAGTTCAGGGTTGGTTAACAGTTAAATGTTTAACTAAATTTCAGAGTTATTTCTAGCATACATTTAATTGCAATTTTCACAGTTAAAAGAGAATGCTTTAGAAAAATTCAAATGAAATACTTAAAACATGGTTCTAAACTGCAATCAGGCTTATTAAATGTTGTAGTCACAGTTAAAATTTAATGTTACATTGCTGAAAAGAAAGGTTAATATAAATTAAATTTGTACATTACTAAAAACTCAAAATATATATTATAAATTAGTAACTTTTTTTAATCAAATAATCTAATAAAAAACAATTTATTAATCAAACTATTAATTATAATTAGCTAAGCAAACAATTTCAAAATTCGCTTATGTGTTTATTTTATATAAATTTTTAAGCATCCACATTAACAAAGAAAATAAAGATTTACAATAAAATAAAAGAGAGATTTAGGTATATCAAAATAAGATAATGTAACAGCAATAAACAACATACTATAAGGAATGTAATTACACAACAGTATGCGTCTCATTAAGCAATAACGTTACAAAATATACATTTACAATATTAATATCTCTAATTATTTTCGGCAAGGCTAATTTTGCGACAGAAATCTACAAACAGAATGTCATACATTATAAAAGTGACACTAAATGAGTGACCAAATACAAACAATTATATTCTCTTCTTAAAATGTTAAAATTTAATTTAATACATTTTTAACATCATTAAATAAAAATAAATAAACTACAATAAGCAAAATTATTTTGTTAGTCTTTTAAGTTCAACGTTTTTAGGTGGTTAAAATTTTTGGAAATTTATGCATGCACTTTCTGTTAAATAAAAGAATTACAAAAAATAAATATTCTAGAAATTTGCAGGAAAATAAAATTTAAGAAAAAGGCATTATTAATTTAACAAATAAAAAATAATCTAAGTTCGGTTTAGACTTATTTTTTTATATTTATTAGGAAAAAAAGATTAAAACAATAAAGAAACAAAGTAGTTACATTTTACAAAATTTAAATTACACGTAGTAAAATTATTATGCTATTCTATAAATATTCTAAAGGATTTTAAAAATACATAGCAATTAAAGTATAACTCTGGAGATAAAAAACTATTTAAACTTAGATTCAAAAAATATCTCCTTGTTATTCATATTTTCACAGAAGCCGAAAACTCACTTTAGTTTTCATTTTAAATCATTGAGAATGCTGATGATACATTGCATTTCTAGGTTTGTAGGAAGGCCTGCGACAAATTGGACAACAATGATTATCACGTGTAAGCCAGACCATAATGCAGTTCATGTGAAAATTGTGACCACAAGGTAATCCGCAAAGACATTCTGAATATCGATAATTTTCTAAGCAAATAGAACATTCACGCAATTCAAGCATTCCATCTGGAGCTCTAGGTTTCTGTAATATAGATCTGGAAGATTCAAGTTCTGAGTGTATTGTAGGTCTGGATTGAAGAACAACACCGGCATTCACATCACACTGCGTCTGACTAGATACATTGTCTGAGATTGATACATCAATGGAATTGATACCATCCGAGGTATATGTCTTAATTTCAGGCACTGGGGGTTTGTTTGAAATTTTTACACTCTCATCATCACTAGAAAATAATACATCTCTTCTTCGCTCGAGTTCATCGTCAGCGTCGCACCATCCCTCGTATTTCCACATGGGTAGATATTTTATATAATCCATCAATATCACAGGTTGAATATACAAGTTTGGGACAGACAACCGCTCTACGAAAAGATCCATGTCTATTTCCAAATCGATTTCTTGGAAAGACACGGTTCTCCGAGAAGCTGCCAGAGATTGAAAAGAAGAGAATATTGTATCTTCCTCCACCAGTTGTAACCATTTAAATTTTTTCAAGAAGTATCCAGATACACTGGCAAAAAATGCGAATGTAAATAGCAAAAAAGGGTTAGAATAAAAACATTTATAATCATTCCTCAAAATGGCACCCACACTGGACCCACTAACAATTCTCAAACACTTCAGAGAAATTTCAGTAAGGGTCATCGTAACGGGGAATCGGTATAAGGCCAAAATTAAAAGCCACAGCAAGAACAGTGCACAGTTGTATTTCACTACACACACAGCATAAAGGATGAAATGTTTCCAGAAAGAACAGTTCATATAAAACAATTCAAAAGCTGCAAGAACATTCACCAACAGCAACGACCAAAGGAAGACATCGTTCATTTCTGGAACAAAAGTCCTCAAATAAAGTTCCAAAGATTTGGAATTGTAACACTCTCCTCGGCGTGCTCCATAGGAAGAAGTCTTCTCTGGAGTTATAACAACATATGCTGGAATATCTTCGGATTTTACAAATCTTTTATAAGATTTTACTGTAGTCACATCCACAGTCCCAATCTTAACACGGCCATTGAATTTAATGGCCATTGCAGAAAGGAACATGGGACATGATTTCAACAGAGAGAAAAACAGAATTCGAATCTCGGAATTTTTACCATCTGGATAAGTTAGCCATTTGTCCAATTCCTCATTTGTTTGTATTTCATGAACACGTGAAGCGAGATGTTTGCGTACCCAATGAAGAATGGATGAAGGCGTGGAAGGTAGTAGATGGTTGTGAAGAATGACATCTTCTTTGGCTTTATGACCACGTGGTAAAGCTAAAATGAGTCTGGAAGTAGTCCAACCTTTACGATGGCACAATCTAACAGGAGAGACAGAAAACATGAATCAATACGATGTTTTGTAATGAAAGCCATTAAGAGGACGTTACACTGTGGAAATAACTTTTCATGGCAAACTCTCTTTCCTCTCTATTGGTATTTAAAAATTTCAAGTTTAACGAAAAGTAAAATTAGGCCAAACCATGAAGTTTTAAACGCTGAAAAATATTTTCAAAATATCAAAATGAAAACCAATTGTTGCAGGATAACTTCTCTATTGCACAATCCTGTCATAATTTGTCAGTCTCTTAATAAACTTTTTTAGCATTTCAAACTGCATGGTTTACTCAAAGTAGGGTCCAGTGGGCATAAAATCAAGCTTTTCTTTAAAAAAAAAAAAGGTTCTAAAACCAGCCATGAAACTAATTTTACCAAATATTTTGATCATTTTATACATGTTACCGTTAAAGTATGAAATCCGTTATTTTATAGAATACCTAGTTATTCCATGAAATAACTGATCGTGTCCGTTAAAGTGTAAAACTCTCTTGTATTTCATGGTTTAACTAGTTATTTCATAGAATAACGATCTGCAGCCCATTAAAGTGTAAAATAATCTATATCATATATCTCGCACGACAAATACATTTACCTTCCACCTCTACTGCATTTATGAACCTAATTCCAGGCCATAGGGAGAGAACTTGTTTAGCATGTTGGCGCCAGTTCATTCCAGTTAATTGATTGCTTACACATACAGTGCCAGCTGCTGTTTGTCAAATACAGTTTAAACATATCAGGTATTGAGATACATTAACTTAGTCATTTGTTATTATGTTAATTTAGTTTGCTTACGTTAAAGTGCAGTTATTTTTAAGACCTTAAAATGCCTTGAACAATTAATTCTTTAAGTGATAACGAAAAAAAAGCTGCAATGAATGAAACGTTTAGTTTGAATCTTTACTAAATAAGTGTGATGTGAAAGAGAACAGTTCTTTGCTCACCCGTGAAAAATTATTAAGTTTGATAGCTGATGTAAAGAAATAAAAAACATCAGATAAGAAAGTGCCACATGATTATTGGTTACTTCAACATTACGATGTCCTTGAAGTTCAAGGAGTAGAAAAATTTATAGTCCCAGTAACAAATGCAACACCAGATGTAATGTTTTATTGCTTAAGTGATTCTTTGTTTGACATTTTGTACGAAACTCATTTATCTATTGGGCACGGTGGTTGAGACCGAATGATAAAGAACTTAATCGTCGTTACAAAAATATTACGCAAAATCATATTAAGATTTTCCTGAATTTTTGTGAATCTTGTCAACAAAAACGCAAAGCGGGAGGAAAAGGTGTTGTTGATAAGCCCATGATTTTTTCACATATGAATTCAAGATGTCTGGCTGATCTCATAGATTTTCAATCACAACCTGATGGAAACTATAAATTTATTTTAGTTTATCAAGATCACCTTACAAAGTTTGTGGTTTCAAGACCTCTTCAAACAAAGAGAGCAGAAGAAGTTGCAGGACAGTTGCTTGATATATTCCTGTTGTTTGGAGCCCCACGTATATTGCAGTCGGACAATGGAAGAGAATTTTGTAACAAACTTATTGATGACTTAAAAGTAACTTGGCCAGAGCTTAAGATCGTGCATGGCAAACCAAGACATAGCCAAAGCCAAGGCAGTGTTGAGAGAGCCAATCAGGACACAGAAAATATGTTGACAACTTGGATGCAAGACAACCAGTCAACTTACGGGTTAAAATTTATCCAGTTTATGAAGAACAGAGTGTTCCATTCTGGTATTAAAAGGTCTCCCTACGAGGCTATGCTTGGTTGCGCAGCTAGAGTTGGACTGTCAAGAACTGCCATTCCGAAGGAAGCACTTAATTCGTTGGTCGACGAAGATCAATTACAAAATACTTTGACTGCAATGAATGTTTCTTCTCAACCTGATAATGAAAAAGTAGTTGAACAAACAGTATTAAATAATCCCATTACGAAAGTATGTGTTGTCTGTTTAAAAGAATGCAGTGAAGATATAGTTTGCTTCAAATGTATGGAGCCTGTCCATATATCCTGTTTGGAAGATTATGTTTCAGAAGATGAAGTTGAGCAGAAAATCTGAAAATTGTGTTATAATGAACTTAATGTTCAAAGAGAAAGAGAAAAGTCTAAAAAATGTTTAGAAATTCAAGCGAAAAAGATTAAATTAATGTCGCATAAATCTCATTCTGAAGCCTCTGTGGGGTTTACCGTCCATATCCCAGTGCCTGAAGTTGACAGAGGAAAAGGTGATGCCAAATCTATTTTAGCTATCATCATAAAAATAACTGAAGAATGATTTTTCCAATTGGGTACAAGAAACGGCCGCATAAAACAATTATATTCCCGATCCCAGTTCAGTGTCTGCGAACAAAAATTAATTAAAATCGAAGAAGTACCGGATGTAGAAATATCGCTCCAGTCGGTTGCTACAGCTCAAAGTTTAGGTACTGGTCAGGGATTAAAAAAATTTTCGTGTAAAACCCAGTGTGTCAACAAAAATTTTTTTTGTTTTATAAATAATGTTCTTTGTAATTCCAAGTGTCATTTTAGTAATCCTTGTTGTAACAAATGATTTTATGGTACGTTTCCATAAATACCATTTATACGCTGCATAAATCAGATAAATTGCTTCCTTTTCATTTTAATTGTCTATCATTAGTTTATTTATAGAATACCTAGTTATTTCATTTTAGATAAATTGTTTATTTTACACTTTAACTGATTCTCATTAGTTAATTTATAGAATACCTAGTTATTTCATAGAATAACAAGTTGAAGTGTCAAATTAATAACATATTACACACTTTATTGGACACGATCAGTTATTTCATGGAATAACTAGGTATTCTATGAAATATCTGCATCATATACTTTAACGGTAACATATACATTGAATTCATATAGATTAAATATGAAGCATAATTTATGTGTTTAGTTTGATTGTTTGCTTACAGTAATGCATTTAAAGGAACATATTTTGATATAACCACTTTACCCCAGAGTGAGGTTAAAGCATGGTTACATTTACATGGAAAAAGAACAGGTTACATTTTGCTCTAAAATAACAAACCTTCTATCTAGGGAGCATTTAAAAACTCCACTTCTCACTCCAAAATTCCCAGCTGTTTGTCTAATTTCTTCCCAAGATTTTTCCGAGAGAAGAGTTGACTCTGCTCCATCAACATCAACTTGGACTAACCAGGCACTATCTTTAGTGTCCTCCACTTCTTCATAGAAATGTGAGCCACATGTGAAATGTGTGGTTTCGGGAGCAGCTTTGGAAGGAAACAAGGCATCAATCAACTCCTCCTTAGTCACTTGACCTAAAAAAAAATGTACATATTGTTTTAAAAAAAAAGAATTGATACGAAAAAACACTTAATTTTTGGTAATAATTTAAAAAATATTACATCGATAAAGTTTTTAAAGACTAGTGCTCTCGGTTAAAAATATATTTAATAAAATAAAATTTTGATACATCATGTAAGTCAAAAAGAGAAATTTAAAATTGGAAATATAAGCACTTACATTTAGCCAAAGTAAAATATACATATATACATCTTAATCTAAAGAAAAAATTTTTCTTTAGATTAAGATGTATATAAAGATTAAGATGTATCTTTAGATTAAGATGTATTAAGATGTATGAGGTTAAAAATATATTTAATAAAATAAAATTTTGATACATCATGCATAATCATGTAAGTCGAAAAGAGAAATTCAAAATTGGAAATATAAGCACTTACATTTAGCCAAAGTAAAATATACATATATACATCTTAATCTAAAGAAAAATTTTTAAAACCAATATTTATAATTACTTAACTTAAACAATTAACACTCAACATACTGCAGTACTGGCAATATCACTATCAGTTGAGGAATAAGAGAAATATGTTTGCCGTGAATGAATATTTCATCGCCATTTTTTTTTTTTTTTTTTTTTTTTTTTTTTTTTTTTTTTTTTTTTTTTTTTTTTTTTTTTTTTTGTTTAAATTTCTTTAAGAAGTATGGAGAAATTTGTGAATACACGGGTAAACAAGAGATAGTCGTAAAATACAGAAGTCTTTGTTAAAAAACAGGAGACTTGGCAGATATGCATGTTGGTCAAATAGTTTCATAGGGAAAAAATAAAGTCAAATGATTTGTAAATGATTCTTAAGACAAACAATTAATAACTGAAATTAGCAACTGAATAACTAATGAGTAATCAAGTAATTAAATAATAAATATAAAGCCTTTTATAAAACTGGAAGATTTGTGCATCAGTACAAAGACCAAAATGATTGCATAATTTTGACCTGATAAGTAGGGAAGACACTAAAAAAAAATTACAAAATGAGGAAAACTTTGACACAAAAACTCATAACCCCTATGATTAATCCAGTGCTTTTCTAATTTATTCCAAGAACAAGAAGTAGGCAATTCAGTAGGTGGGAACAGGTACAAATAATGAAGGTTATATTTTAAGATTATTTGAATAAATTACCTTGATTTCTCCAAATTAATAAAGTTTTTTGACTTTTCCCTGCCATGTAGGCCAACCTGCAGTATTTCCTAAAAAATCTTTGAATAACTTGATGCTGGAAAGTTATAGAACCCATATAATTTAGACTTATAATAGTATAAAAACAAACTCGTTTGTTGATTAAATGTATTTTTTATAATTAAATATTTAAGTTGGTGATTATAGAGTTACGTACCAATGCACTTCCACCAGAAATCAAATCCTACTGATTGTTTTGAGATTTTAAGCAAACTTCTGTTACAATTTCTGACATGTAATTTTTATAAATTACTTGTCATAAATACATGTTATTATATGTATTTATAACATGTAATAGATATTATAGATTGGTGTACCAGTGCATTCCCTTCACAAATGAAATCTCACTGACTGTTATAAAATTTTAAGCACTTTTGATTCCAATGTGTGTACAATGCACTTCTATTAATATTTATGACATGTAATGTTTATACATAACATGTCAGAAATACATGTTATTACACATAATGGAGGTTAGAGATTGGTGTACAATACATGTCATTTCATGTAACGAAACTTTTTTTTAAAAACAAATCTATTATGTATTACAAATTTATTTTCATTTTTAATTTTTTCTACTTACTTTTAGCAATTGCCTATCATATTTAAAACAAAAGTTCGAAGTCAAACAAATTCTTACTTTCAAGAATCACATTTTATTAAGAAATATAAATTTTAATAAATGTAGTGTCATAAAATATAAAAAAATTATGTCAAGTGTTCAGTATATCAAACCTAATTTAAACATTTTTAATTTGTCTGCTTTAATAATCAAATATAAATACAGTAAAACATGGGTACAGAAAAAAAAAACTCCCGAAACGCCAAGCACTAAATGGATAAAAACGGATGAACACGCACGTTCATTATAGATTTATACAGTAGGGAACCGATTATCCGGAACGATCGGGACCATCGCTATTCCAAATAACTGATTTTTCCGGTTTTCTGAATCGCTACTAAAAGCCGTTTTTTTAATGTTAAACCCAACTAAAAAAAAATATTGGAAATAATCTTAAAAAGAAGAAAAAACGATGAAGTAATACACTAATAATTATTTCCAAATTGATGGTAAGGTAAACATCTTTAAAAAAAGAAAGAAAAATCCTAAAATCTTATGAGGAAAAAAATTTTCTTTTAAATGGTGGGAAAATTAATCGAATTTCGTTCCGGTTTTTTGGTTTTCCGGTTTTCTGATTTCCGGATAACGGGTTCTGTACTGTATATAGAATAGATGACAGTCAAATTATACACGTAAACTACGAAACAAGTACAAAAACCACATGGGAGAAATTCAAAACTGCTAATGAACGTACAAATTTATCTAAAGTAAATTATATTTACCGAGAAAATTATACAGCATTAAAGTTAGTGAGGGGATGACATGCAAAAGCATATTGAGTCAATTTTGGAAATTGTTGATAGACTGAAAGCAATTAATGAAAATATTTCTAATTCTCACATTTTAGCTTTATTGCTGCGTAGTCTACCCATGACTATGAAAATCTAATAACTGCTCTCGAAGCTAAGCCAGAAGAACTTATTCCTGAATATATAAAATCAAAACTTGTAGATGAATACAGGTGAAGAATCGAAGCAGACGCATCTAATAGTTTTTCCTCTTTGAAGGCTTTTAAAAGTGCAATGTTCAAAAATTAATAAAGGAAAGATTGAAAATAAATTTTGTACATATTGTCAAAAAAAAAATTTATCATTTTAAAGCAGAATGCTTGTTACATAAAAATAAGAGTATTCCTTTTCAAAATAAAACTTGTAAGATTAAGGAAGTGCGTTATAAAACTAGATATTTTATTACTAATCTTAAAATACAATGTTTATTAATTTAGCCACTTAATAGTGCTGTTGAACTATGCAATATATAACTTTCACTTCACTACTCGTCTATCCTTCATCTGAAGAACACTAGCTCACCCACTTACATTGTTGATACTTATTATGCTTAATTAATAATAAACTCGTATTAAAAGGCAATCTGAACTTTAGACTGAATTATTAATCCTTGAGTATGTCACCAAGAACTTGCACTATTGAAGAATATAAAGTGAAGACAGACAAGTTAACATGCACAAGACAAAGGTAAGCAATATTTATCTCTGCTACCTTTTATTAACCAAAGTAAGTGTTATAGCAACACATTAATGAACAATACCCAAAGAGTTTGAGCCTTTGTGGAGAAATAAAGGTACAATACAGGTATATTTTCATAAGAAGTCACACATCTACTGCAATATATATGAGAGGAAAATCTGTTTACCTCAAAGCTTTAAAAATGTGTGATATTACCAAGATAAAAACAAGCAGAGGACCCGGGCAGATTACTAAGTTAGAAGCCGAAATCTTTTCACTTTAGAACTTGTTTGATTCTTATTTTAATAAAAATTTTACAAGTCTAAAACAACTTGCACAATGTGATATTAACTTTGCATCTTAATATTGGTAAAAATCAGATTCTAAATTCATCGGGTAAACCTTCTGCTAGGTTTGGTTTTAAATATAAAGATCAATACCTTTACCAATCCACCCTTATGTGCAGATGAAGTTGTCATTAAGTGCAATTGCAGATGGAGCCTAACACTGTGCATATCCAGTAGCTGATACATTTTTAAAACTTGATTGAATGTTTTTACTTACTCTCGCTTCGCATGTTATCCTGTCATGCATTAATGTTCTTTTGTAGTTCGATAATAAAATTACTGTTTTGTAAGATTGTATGATTTGTGTCAACCCAACAACAGAGAATCTGATTAGTGCATTGATTCTATGCACAAGATTTTGTGCACTGTTATTATTAAATCCAAAAAACTTTCGATTGAAATAGAAATACATTGTAACTACTTTTTCACAGTAATAAACATAATTATTAGAAAACATTCTCCATTAATTTCAAAGCTTTTTGTAAATATGAAGACCAATTTTGGAGTATTACAAAAGTTTATTGAATTAGCAAGTCACAAACCCCAAGAAAGCTTAAATTTAAAATCTCAAAAACCTTATATTATAATCTTTAAAACTACATTGTCAGAATCTTAAAATTTGGATGCCAGGAGTAAATGTTGCTTCTTCCTATAACATAATGAGATCCTGGTAATCAATTTTTACCCTCAAGGTTACCATCTGTTTCGTTACAAATCTACAGAATGTTTATCAACATTTTTAATTATCTAACATATAAAAACATGTAATGAGCATATGTTGAAATGAAAAATAATAATTTAGTAAAAATGTAACCTGAAGACTTCACCAGTTCCACTAATTCTGGCTTTTCAAATACTCCAGAATAACTCACGCCTCGGTTATCCAGCAGCTCTTTCAACTTCTTCACACTCAATGAAATCGGATCCAAAACAACAAATGATGTAACTAATGATCCTGTATCATTATACCAGGAGAAAGTTTCTAACATTCGACACAAGACGAATAAAAAAACGAAATACAGAGTCAACAATAACAATTTTAACCACATAGTAAGGCTCGTAACTCAATTTTCAAAATTAGCATCAGAAATCACCTATTAAGAAAAAAGAAAAATGTTAACGATCGTGAAATTTAAAAATATTTATTGTTTTAATTTTTGAAAAAGATGTGAAAATATAATGGAACGAATACGAGCAATTATAACTTGCCTGTTGATTCCTTTGTTTACATAAAAAATAGCGGAAGTTATTGAATTATCCTTTTCCTGTTTGGATAATTTAAGAACAGTTCTTAGAAAAAAGAAATAAAAATTCAGCTATTTTAAACCATATTAACTCAAAGGGGCATGGCATTAATCAAACATCTAAGAAAGTTTGATACAAATGCAGCCCTTTGAATAAAGAAGCCCTGACGTAAGTCAGCTAATGTAGTGTAAATAATAATACAAATACAGCCTACAGGCATCATGTTGCACAACTTTTATCATGAGTTTTAATCTTTTATTTTTTAGGTTAGTTCTGATGAGAGTAGAATTATATAATAAATAATTGAAGTTCCGTTTTAAAGTTCTTATGAATAAAGAAATTCGATTTTTATCCTTTAATTTCAATTAAACTCAGGGTTTTGAAAACGAAAGTAAACACTTTTTAGCCGACGATATTTCTCAATAATTTTTATTTTAAACTATTTACTAATTTACCACAACAGAAAATATTTTTGGAATTGATAAGGCAATAACTTAATTATAAATTACTTTAAAACATACTTTTTCCTTTAAAAAAAAAACAATAGTTTTCTTCTTGTTTCATTATTATATGCTGAATAAAAATTTCTCAACTCTGCAAACCGAATGAACTGTATTTTCAGTTTCTTTAGTAATTGGAGAAAATATACTGTAATTTTAGTTCTTAAAAAGTTGATAAAGTTGAAAAATTTCGATGAATTATGGAAAATGAATACTATTATTGAAAATACTAACTGTAACTTTTGTATGCTTGTTTACCAACTCGAAAGGAAAAAAAGAACGATAATGGAACTATTACAAAAATTGTTTAGTAATGGGGTCTAAAATTTAAGAAAGAGAAAAGCTTTTTTTAACTTTTATAAATTAATTATCTAATTTGAAAGTCATGGAGTCCTGCAATAATGTTGAGAAAGAAATAGAAAAAGTCTTGACTAAATTTGGAGCTTTCAATGAGCATGTCCGCAGAACGCTGGATGAACTGATTGAATATGTTCAAAATCTTCAACAAGAATACATTGAATGTATGATTTATTTGTGTGTTTATACTTTAACTGTAATTCCCGACTTGCATATTTTATAGATGAAAAGATTGCATTTGCTCAAGATTTTCTTTTCTGTACTTGAAATGTTTCTTGTCAAATTCGATTTACTTACGTGTTGAAATTTGATTAGTTTCTTTTTCAGAATTCTATTTGCATTTTATGTATATTTTAATGTGTGGATAAGAAATTTATAGCTGAATAAAAAGGACACATCATATTTAAAAATGGGTTTAAATATCCATAAATTTAATTTTCATATTTGCAAAAAAAATCATTAGGAATATGGGTAATAAAATTTTTTAAATTTTGATCTACATCTTTGTTACTCAATTTATTATATGCATTAAAATGAGGTTTTAAACTTGCAATTTTTAAAAAAAGAAAAAAGCAAGTCAAGGTTTGTCTGGGGGTGGTTACAAGTTATACCCTTGGAGTTGGTCCCCCTTCTGTCATTTTTTCTTAGTTTCTCGCAGCCCACTGCCCTGAGAGTTACCAAGACTTGGCATAGATTTCAAAATGGAAATATACCCTCCTTACATGTCTCCTGTTTAATATTAGCAATGGCTACATTAAGGATGCCAGACAAATGTTTTCACTTCAGATGCAGCTTGTTCATTTAATATTAAGATTATCCATTCCAGAATCTTTTTCCAAGTTGTCTAAAGACATACTTTAATATAAATCTTTAATATATTTTTTACTACTCTAGTTTTACATTAAGTATATATGTGCAACTACTATTATTCAATCTGTTTAACTACTATTATTCAATTTGTTGCCAAAAAAATTTATGATAATAAATAATGAGAAGGAGATGTATGTATGTTATTAAAGCCTATACGAGATTTTTAACTTTGCTCTTTATTTTAAGCTTGATTCTGTTTCAATAGTAATAGTACAGATGTATAATTTCCTTGTAAATGAAAAACTTTTAATAAGTGATTAAGATTTATTTTTTTAACATTTATCTAACCCCCACATATTTGCTTAAAAGACTAAGTATCATATTATTCCTACTTTTGTTGATTACAATTTTATTTGGTTAAAGTTTTAAAAAAAATCATATTTCCTCTGTTTTTTAAAGTCAAGTACATATATTTATGTTACAGTAATATTCAATAAATTTTAATAGTATTCTTGACTCATTGTACCATCTAATAAAACCATTTTATTGTAGCAGCTTCAGTGATGGAGACTATTACTCCTGCACAAAGCTCCATTCTTAGCAGATGTTCAACTAGAGTTAAAGATGTTGTTACCAGTTTGGCAACTGAGCATCGTGACCTTCACGGAACTGTTTCAAAAGTTGGAAAAGCTATTGATAAAGTAAATAAAAGAATATTTCATTATTATATTTTTTAGTTCTTAAAGATTTAATTAACCTTTTTTTTCTTTATCACTGTTACCCATACAATCTTCTGTTTTCATAATTATATAAATAAATGTGTAAAGAATCTTCAGCTTTATCCAATACAAAAATTGAAAATTATCTAAATTTCTTTTATTCTACAAATGTGCTGATGTTTTATTCTTTTTGGGTAACTGAAACTTCTGCCCTTTATTAATTACTTTTTTTTTTGGCCCGTTGAGATTTAAATCATAATTTTAATTAATTTAAACAAATGTTTATCTTTAAAAAAGAGTGGTGTTTAAGATAATTTGTCATGCTCCTAAATAAGTTTCGAGGTGTAAGAATAAAAAGTAGGCGAAATTGACAATATGTGTATTTTTAAATTGAAATAAGGTTATGGAATTTTTTCATTTACCCTTACTACCCATGAGGAAGGAAAAAAAAAGTACAATAGCTGATGGCATGCTTTGGAGTGCTTTCCTGCATCTAGTCTTAATATTTTTGGTTTAATTTTATTTGTAGATTTTTAGCCACACTATCAATAATTCTGTGAGATTTTTTATAGCTTAAAAGTTACTAATGATATGAATTCCTTATATTTTTTTTAATATTATATTGTATCTACTATCTTTCCAGCTGCAAATGAATCAGTTGAAGTAGTGAACGAAGTTTTTAAGAGATGTTTGTGTTTCTAAAAAGAAAGAAATCATAGGCGTAATCTTTATTTTCTATTGTCAATGCTTAGACTTTGAAGTTAATATACTCAGTCTCATTTGTAACTTTCATCCTCTTAGCTTTTCAATTAAAGAACTTACTGTTGATTTTGATTATCTTCTGAGCTATATATTTCTTCCTAAATTGTCAAATTTAAAATAAATATCTCTGATCTGTTTTTAATTTTAAAAAGTCAAATTATTCACAATTAGTTAAAAAAAGAAACTGGTTTAGAATGCTACGAAAACCGTATTATATCATAAGTTTTGAATGAAATAAAATACAGAATAAAAGCGTAAATATTTAAAAATATATACAGGTTTATATATATATTTTTTTCATTATTAAAGAATTTAATAACTATTAGCTCTTCAATAGCTTTTTCTTTTTTAATTTCAGAAATTCTAAATCATCATCGTCTACTGTTTTTTTTAGCTAAAATTGTGTTACTTAATTAGTAGTTTTAACTTGCATCTTTATTTTGTGATTCAGCAGTTCTTCCTCTCCCCTCCCCCTCTTTCAGGGCTGAAGTAGCACAATAGTGCCACTAACTCATTTTATCTATTTCAGTTCTTCTTCTAAAAAAATTATATGCTAATAAAAATGATCCTGATATGAGGACTTGAGTTTTATGTATTTTAAACTATATTTTTTATTTACTTTTAGAATTTCATAGCAGATTTTGCTACCACAAGCAATGAAGATGTTTTTCAAGGTTCAGAAAATGCAAAACTTTTAAATCAAGTTATTAGTGAACATTTTCTGAGACAAGGAATGCTTGAAATTGCTGAAGAATTAATTAAAGTAAGTAAGATATCTGGTAATTACAAAATGAGCCTCCGTTCTCACTGAAATCATTCCTCTTGACTGCCAGACAATAATTAACTCTTAAATTCATAATTTTTTTTAAAAAAATACTTTTAACGTAATAATAAATTTATGTTTTTTAATATACTAAAAAAAAAAAATAATACATAACTAAACTATAGTAGAAATGTTTGTAGGAATAAGTAAATGTTTTATAGGAATAAGTCTTGTGTTTTGTAGGTATTGTTGAGATAAAATTAAAAATCCATAACTGAATATTTTTTTTAGATTTTGTAGTTGTTGCTATGTGTTCAATATTTCTTATTTATTGAACACAGTGTGATTTCATTTAATATGTTAAAGGCTTTAGATTTTAAAGATGACTTCATGATTTATAAAACTCCATAGAAAACATGAACTCCATAGGAAAAACATGAAATTTCAAAGATATAAAACAACTCTGAATAATATAATTTAAGGTTCTATAATTTAATCTCAACTCTAAACTTAAGATCAAAATATATTTCTACAAATTTTGACTACAATTCCTATTTTAAAATGTTCCAATATTATTCTATACACTAATATTATTACTCCAATATTATATGTTCTAATGTTATTCTATACACAGTACAAACACAGCTAATCTGTATCAACAAGGTTTTTGTCTAAAAAAGGTTGCTATTTTGGGATAATTTATAAAGATACAAAAATAATTTTTTCCCTCTACATTTAAATATAGGAAGGAATGTTTTTTATTTTTATTGTGAAGTATTTTTAATCAACATTTCAGCCTAACCATGATTTTTTCTTTAGGAAACTGGTCTACAAATGGAACAAAATAAAAGAGAGCCATTTTCAGAATTAAACAGGATATTAGATGCATTGAAACGAAAAGATCTAAAACCTGCTTTGACGTATGTTTTTAATGAATATTTTTAAACTTCTGTGATTTGTGTAGACAGGGCCGGATTAAGCGCTCACAGGGCCCTTGGCCATTCAAATTTTGGGGGCCCTTAGATTAAATTCTTTTCTTGTATATTTTTTATTTATTCAAAGATAAAAGTATTTATCTATCTTTTCATTTAAGAAAGCATATTTAAAATTAAAATAAATAATAATAAATTAAATTTTACTTTATTTTATTAAATTAGAACTAAAAAATAATCATAACACTTTGAAAAATCATTGTTTTTCTTAATTTTTTTTAATTTATTTTCAAAAAATCCAATTTAAGGGGGCCCCAGGCCATGACCTAGTCTGGCCTAATGGGTAATTCGTCCCTGTATGTGGAATATTTAGTTATCTCTTAGGCTCAATATTTCAAGCATTTCTTGTGATATTTAGGGTTCTTTTAGTTTTCCAAAGGTTGTAAGAAAAAGAAACATTATGTAAAAAAATTTTTAAGTGCTAGGTATATTACAAAACAATCAATGTCTCTGTAGAACTGTAGTGATGTCAGCAGACGTCACTTTTGTCATTATTAACAAATCAATAACAACAGTCTTAAGTTGTGGAACAGTGGCACTGCCTCACCAATCCAGAGAGTATATAAAGACTTTACTAGTAGATGTTCACCACTAATCTTATGTTACCTAAATAGTAGTATGTTATTTTGTTATATATATATATATGTTTTGTTGGTTTATTAAATATACTTTTTAAGTTATCATGATGCCTCGTCAAAGATGCACACAGCTTAACAAGAGCACTTTATGTTTGGAACAGAACTATTTGCATCCACTTCCTCTCAGAGCAGTTTTCTTGTTTCATTTTCAGTTAACAATTTTGTTTCATATTCTAATTTATTTTTGCTAATTGAAGTTCCCTTTTTTCTAATTTAGTTTTGGCAAAGTAAAATTATTTATTATTAAAAAACAAGCAATAACAGTTTAACTAGTCAGAACTGTTTGTTTATACTTGATGATACTTACACAGCATAGTAATTATTATAAGAAGCATAGTGTATTACATAGTGTCTAATGTTGCAAAACATTGTAGTTGTTGCTCTACATCAGACACAGATTTGCTTGTGCTTGCCGCAATATCTATTACTGAAATTAATTAAGTATCAATAATAGTTAAGAGAATTTTTACAATTCCCAGAAATTGAAAAATGAAATTTCAACTTTAATCTTTGTAACTTTGCCCATATTTTAAAATAATCTATAATTTTATAAAAATTAAGATTTTCAGAAAAATTGAATCTGTTTCAATGTTTGTTACTGTGTAGTTATTTTTTTTAATCTGAATTTTGATAAAATACTGTTAATTGAAGAACAATTATCAAAACATAGTGAGGAGAATTATTTTTCTAAAAAGAAAACATATTTCCTATTGTATTTTTTAAGATCTTTAAGCAAATATGTATAAGTGTTCCTCTATTGAATTTTATTTCTCCATTCATTATTATTAATGTCCAGGAAAGCTACTATATTTTCTATGAATCTTGTCAGTGTAAATACTCCAGTTTATTTTTAATATTTAGATCTTCAATACCTTAACATATGTTATTTTTTTTAAATTATCAATGTTCTGATTTATTTAAAATAATAAATTTTTCATAGTCATATTTTGGGCATTCGTTGTAAATGTGAAATATGCCATTGCAAATAATTTTGAACTAATAACCTTCTTATAGCAAATTAATGTGTAAAAAAGCAAATACAAGTATTCAGTCTGTGTTATCTTTGGAATTTTAATGTAATTATTAGAGTTGTTATCGATAAATGTGATTAAATATAATGGGATTAAATTAAGAAAGAAAAATGCTTATTTTAGAAAGATTGTCGCTACACATCTTTTTCAATGGATGACACATTTGTCAATAAGTAATTATTTATTAAAAGTTGCTCTTGAAATACAGTAATAAACTTACCATGAGATGTTATATATTTTAGGTGGGCTCAATCAAATCGTGAGAAGCTCTTGGAGCAAAGCAGCTCTTTAGAATTCCGACTTCATAGATTGCATTTCATTGATTTATTGCAACAAGGAGTATTTAAGCAGGAAGAAGCTATATCATATGCAAGAAAAAACTTTCAGCATTTAGCTGTGCAACATGAAAAAGGTACATTATTTTAATTGTTTTCTGAATTTTCTTTCTTTGTGCTATAGATATGGGACAATGGTGGTGAATCTTTTAAGAAGGAGCGTTGCTTTCAGACGAAGAAAAAAGTTATGTTCATTGTTTCCAATTTTCAACCTACCGTAAAAATATTTATTTACTCGCTGATTATAAGAACACGGTGCGTAGCGTTTGTAAAAAGTACTTAAAGGTGCTTCTTTGGGGATTTCGTTTTTAAAAGCTTTTAAAGGTGCTTTTTTCAGCTGGCGTTTTTAAAAAGTGCTTTTTTTCCGAAATTTTTTTTCTCCCTTCAGTGATATCTGGTGGATCCCATGCATTTCACGAAAAATGGGGTGTTTGCTACGTAATTATTCACGCGGACTTCATGTCGTACCCACGTTATGACTTGCGCATGCGCGCACACTTGAAACCGAAACCCGAGTGCTCCAATTCGGATAGAGAATATCAGATCCTTATGAAATGTTTTTCTTTTTAATTTATTTTAATTTTGTTCTTGTTTATTTTATTTTACTTCTAACACTTTTTTTGACGTAGGGGGTAAGGGTACTTTTGTTCTGAGTTCAGGGTCAAGTTGAATTCACTCGGTGATGTGGGAAAGTACTGATTGTTTCGATTTACGCCCGTTTCTTTTTGGGTTTTTTTTAACGCTAAAACTGTTTATAAAAAGTTTTTGTTTTTCAATAATATCATTGATTGAATATGAATTTTTTGAGTGCTTGAAAATTTTTGTAAAGTGCTTGAAAAGTTTTTAAAAAGTGCTTATTTTTTATTCAAAGATTTGGCTACGCACCCTGAAGAATTTTTATGTGACTAGCACATCTTTTTTTCATATAAGCCTGAGTAGAGCCTTGGTAATTTAGTTGACTCCCAAACAGGTGACCCAGATTCAAATGGTTGGTTCATTGGCACCCTGATATAAATTCTGCTTCTGGCTTGCACCAACCACTGTGCTGACATAAAATATCATATATATAAAATATTTTTATTATTTCTTCTCTGTTTAAAAGTTATTGCAGTTTTTAAATCTTTATTTGAAGGGGGCAGTTTTTCTCATTCAAATTATTAATTTGGCTGCTAACAAAAATATATGAAACAGCTTTCCTTATCCTTGCCAATATGGCTTTAACAGTAACTTAACCATACTTTGGCAATCATATACAAATATTTCAGTTTTTGAAGTATATGAATTTTTCCCCTTTCAAATTATTAATTTGGCTGCTAACAAAACTATATGAAACAAGGTTGCCTTACCCTTGTCAATATTACTATAACTTTACTATACTTTGGCAATCAGATACAAATATTTCAGTTTTTGAAGTTAATGAATTTTTTTTTCAATTTATTATATGGTTAAAATTATTGGAAATTAAACTTGTTACTTGTTAAATTTTTATAATAGTCTTATTTGATATAGTTAAATTTGTCTGACCTTTAAAAATATTTAACTTGTTTTAGAAGAAAATTTAATTGTAACTTTAAAATGGACTTGCTAGCCAAATAGTTAGTGTATTATCCTTTCTTCCAAATGAACTTTTGGTGTGGGTGTGCATATTAATTTATTAGTCTGAAGATTTTAATATGTTTAATGCATTTCATACTAGTCTTGTTATTTTCTGTAAATTGAAAATATTCTAAATGCATATTGGTAAATTATTATTTTTTTCTTCAGAAATACAAATCTTAATGGGAAGTTTGTTGTATCTAAAGCAAGGTATTCAAAACTCACCTTACAGTTATCTACTGGACCCCATTCATTGGGTGGAAATCTGTGATATTTTTACAAGGGATGCTTGTGCACTCTTAGGATTATCAGTAGAAAGTCCTCTAGCTGTTTGGTAAGTAATAATAAAATCGGTTTTGCTTTAATCTAGCAAAAGTCTGATATAGCACTATTTCATATTTTTAGGTTAATAACTGCAACATTATGCAGTTTTTCTGAAATTATTATTTAATGAGTTCTTAGAACAAACTTTAATGTAACTGCCAATACTTAAAATGTGAGACAACATCAACAATTAACTGATATTCTGTTAATTGTTCATTAAAATAAATTATTAATTGTTAATTACTAATCACACAAAGTGTTCTTTTACTTTGCAATACGCCACAATTATTTGAAATGTTTAATATTGAATCTTATTTAAAGTGTTCTATTTTTTTGATAAATATTGCTTGAATTGATTTGCTATTTTAATTTTAAAATGATTACTTGCAATTGTGAAAAAATTATTAAATTTATTATATTTTGATTTAAACCACTTTTTTTTTCTTCAAAAATAACTTCTATTTTGTGAAAATCAATCAATAAATGATGTCTAATAATAAGTAAATCCATTTTCTTGCATCTTTCATTGAAAACTATAACTATGCTATTTCATGTACTTTGTATGAATAAACAATTTAAGTTTTAAAAAAAATTATGTGCTTTAAATTTTTTACAATTTTGAGTGTGTGTTTTTTTTTAAACTATAGATTTTAGCTTTTTCAGCACAAAGAGTTCTTTCGATATCATCACATGGTCAGATCATCATATTCAATATAAATAATTGTTTTGAAATCAGATCAAAACTGTTGTTAATTAATGGGTGCAAATCCTCATTTTATTTATTTATTTATTTTTTTTTCCATTTTATTTGAGTATTTGACTTTCTTAATTCTTGTATATCTTACTTGGCTGTTCAATAAATAATCAACTTAACAAGAAAAAAAAAGAATGAAAAAAATACTGATATGATTCACAGATGTCTTCAAGATTATTTCTTGTTTGTACAGAGATCTGGTATTTCTATTCACTTAATAAAAGTTTTTGTTTTATTAACACTTCAATAGATTACCATTCAATCTATTTATTTCTGTATGTATTTGCCCCGAGGAGATTGGATTAGCCAAGGCTTTACTCTTTAACTGAATTTATTTGATCTCAAGTTCATGATGGATGATGAAGTTTTCTCATACAAAATTTTTCATTGCTTGAAAAATAAAAATTGTTTAAAATATTAATTATAAAAAAATATATGGTAGGCAGACCTGTATAATATAAATGAGGATGTACGTACCTTTCCTTCATGTAAAATTTGTCAACATCATGGCAAATTTTTACTATTTCTAAAAAAGAAAAAATAATTTGCTGTTTCATAAAAAGTTTGTAATTTTTGAATTCCCGAGAAAAAATATTTTTTTCTTTTACAATTTTTCCTACCATTGTAAACACAATGTCTGATTTGACAATGACACACATGTCTGATTTGTGTTCAAATGGCTTAAAAATTATGCATCAGAGTTGGTATTTATGCGATTTTAAAATGAAACATCGAGATTTGTATTCATGTGATTTTAAAATCAAACATCGAGATTCGTAGTCACGTGATTTGAAAATCATACGTTGAGATTCATATTCACACAATTTAAATGAATGAATAAAATCTTGCACCAATATTTTTTTTTTATTGAAACATTCTGTAAATAAGTGCTTCTTTCATCAATTTTTTTTCTTGCTTAAATTTCAGGTATTTTTTCAATTGTTTAAAATTTTTTTGGTTTATTACCAAGTTATTCCCTGTTGTATGAATCAATATAAAGTTTTATAAAAATTAAACATCTTTAAAAAAATTCATGAAACGAATTTAGCCAAAATGAGGTGACGACGAAAGGGTTGAAACTAGTTGCATGATTTAATCAATGCATTCAAGTTTTTTAATTGAGATTTTATGTTCGCAGAAAGTTTTTGATTTTACCTAAGTCTGGTAATTGGAGATCTACCCACTGATCACTGAATTATGTAACCACTGAACTGCTTTAGCATTTCCTTTTAAATTGCTTTACTCGTTCATTGGATACTTGTGCATTTTGTTTTATCTTTGTATGTATGCTACTAGTCTTTTTAAAATGAAGTTCTAAACGTACATAACCGGTCATACATCTGATTTATAAAAATTTTATTTAATTTACATAAATTACGATCTTATATTTACAAAATTAAAAACTTCAGTGTTTGAAGATACATCTCATTCTTTATTCTTACATAAACTCACAATATTTTTATTTTAATATACAATTAAAATGAATTAAAACCGAAGGACTAAATAAAACGTTACTTGTCTCTTGCTCTGTAATTATGAAGCACTAATGAAATTAAAATATTGCTTTAAATTATAATTTTGTGTAAATTGATAAATTCAATTAAAATAAAAATACAAAACAGTTTGTTTCTCGATAAGAAATTTTCACTTTCAACACGTTTATTTCCGTCGGACTAATAGCTCATTTTGTTTCAGCTTTTTGTTGTCCATGCGAGAAAAGAATTTTCTTTTAGAATTTTGTAAGCATGTACATTTAAGCATTTATGTTTAAGGTTGCTTACTCATTTGATATTTCAGTTCTTTTAAGCCAATGCAAAAAAAAATCTCATCAATTTTTTAACAATTATATATTTGTGTTGTATGTAACATAGATTGTATCTCATGACCCAGTTAAATCTCATAATCCAAAATATCTTTAATGATAATTAACTTTGCTCTTGCAAATTTTGGCTATATTTTGATATATGCATTTCCAGCTTGGGTAGGCTCAGATTTAGGTCTTAAGCCTCTGAAATGCTCCTCATGCCTCTAAAAGGGAGCCTAACCTCATCTGTAATAGTGTACACCTGTACACATCACTTGCAGAGTAGAACATGGATTGAACATCACCCGCGAATAATGATTTTCTGATTTTAATGTTTTTAAGTCCAGTTTAGTCCCCTTTCATTTCAGAATGTATTTAGGTAATTAAAAATATATAATTAAATTTGTAGGAATATAAAATTTAGTTTTCTTTGTAATTTTCGTGTTTATCGACATAGCGACATCTCGTCTTGACAAAGTTTTTGCCCAGTTCAAAGCGTTGCCATTGTGAAATGATGTATTTTTGTCAATAATAGGCTATTTTCATACCTTATTTGAGTTTGCAACAGTTATTCATGACTGTTACATCAAGTTTAGCCTATCTAAGGCCAGTGCGCTCTATGTTCATTCTGAAAATGATGCAAAATGTCACTACAGTGAGAAGCCACACTTTTATGAAAATGAAAAGCATTTGTGATCTATTTTTAAATATTTAAAAACTTACTTCAATACTGTACTATCTGGGCTCATAAAAATTTATAGAAACTTAGAATAAAAAGGTGGTTTTGATAGTTTTCATCACGGTAGAAAAATGTCCTCAAATTATCGATTTTTAAAAAATTTCAAAAACTTTTCAAATATTTAATTTTAAAGCCCAGATTATTCTTCCCTGCAAGATAGTATATATAGTTTAAAATTATAACTTTTCTTCAAGCGAAAGGCACTTAAATTGTGGCTTTTTTTTATTTTCCTTGGCCAAAAAGAGCTTCAAAAAACCATTTTAAATTAAGATTCTACTCTAAAAGCATTTAATCAAACATATTATTACTGTCAGTGATTGCTAGATAGTACTCATTACTTTGAATCAAAGAGCTTAGTGAATCAACATGTTAAGTGAAAAGATAAGTTATTCTTTTTTCACAGAATTAGAAACAGAGCATAACAAAAAAATAGTTCTATGATTTTATTCTGATAAACATTTCTGTTCAAAAACCTGGAAATTGGATACTTTCAAAGCATCACTTACCTTTTCTTCACTAAACTTTTCAATTATACCCCAACAATGCTTATTTTTTATAGTACTAATGCTGGATGTATTGCATTACCTGCATTGTTGAACATTAAGCAAGTTATGCAGCAGAGATTGGTAACTGGTGTCTGGAATACTCGAGATGAATTACCTGTAAGCATTTTCATAAGTATTTTTTATAGTTTTTGTATTTAAAAAAATTCAGTAAGTGCAAAAAAAAATCTCCTAAATTCTACTATATATATATGTATAGCAAAATCAATGAATAAAGAAAAATGCAATTTCTATACTTCTTTTACAATATATTTTGTATCACACTCAAGTTAATTAAATTGGGAATATTGTACTTCAATAACATAACATTCTATTTGCAATGTTTTTTCTGTTGGAATTATTAGTGTAGCATAATTTAATCCTTCTTAAGTAGCATAGGTGCAGCTTAGTTTTGATGCATACATATTTTTTCAAAGAAAAAATTGCTTTCTTAGATTAACTTCATCTAAAGCTTTTGAAAAATGATGTTACTGTTAACCTTTATAAACCTTTTATTTTTTAATTAGTGACCATTTAGTTAATAATTATGTATTTGATTTTTAAATTCAAATTTAGTAATTTTCTGAAATGAAAAGTTACAAAGCTTATTTGAACACCTGATGTTAATCAAATTTTAAATTTCGGTGCATTTAATAAGTTTTTTTCACATGTATTGTTAACTTGATGAAAATTAGATTAATGAAATTTTTTCATTTAGTGTCTTAGCTTTAACCATCTTGTTAAATGTAAGTTATAGGTTACTGTTTCTTTCATTTTTGTGTAAAAAATCCAGATTGAATATAAGAGTAGCATTATAAAATTGTTTATTTACTTTAATTTTTATTGCATTTCATTTATTTTGTTGTGTTCTTGTATTTTTCAAAAGTTAGTTTCAAACTGCTTTTTAGTTGGAACAAAAGCATTAAATCTTTAATCAATCTTATTGTGCATAATACACATAAAAAAATTTTTTATATTATGTGGTAATTTAATTTTTTTGTAGTATTATCTTGTTAATATTTGTTATGTAATCAAATCTTTTAATTACTAACATTCTTTTGGCCTAAGTTTATTTGTACATTTTTCAAAGGCTATTTTTCTGGCTTTTTGGTATATTATAATTAGGTTGTATCAATCCTCTCGTTAAAATTCTAAAAAAACTTACACCTAGTTATTATGTAGTGTTAAATTTCGATAGTTTCATCTTTTAAAGTAGCATTTAAACTTAAATGACATTCGATGGCAAACTGCACACAAAATTGCTTTTAGTCTTAATTGCTCTTAAGAAGCAATTAAGACTATTTTGCACACAAAATAGTCTTAATTGCTTCGTAAAAGTATTATTTTATATTTTTTATTTACTTTACTTTTTTGCAATTGTATGCTGGTTCTAAAAAATATATTTCCTTGTCATACCTTCTCTTTAATTATTGAAAATAAAGATAAATTATTGTTATTTTAGGATTAAAATTATGCTTTCTTTTATCTTTATGTAACTTTTTCATCTTAACAAAATAGGGTATGAAATTTTTGCACCAATTATTTAAAGCTATGTTTGCTATAGAAAAAATGAAAAAGCTTACTAAAGAAAGAGTTTTGTTTTTAAAATTTTAGTTTTTTTTTCCTTAAAAAAAGGTAAAGCTTTGTATACTTTTTTGCAGAACGCTTAGGCAACTAAATTGATTAGTATTAAAAAAAATTAATTAACCAATTTCATTTTTATGATTTTTTTTATGCACTTTTATAATTTGTTCCATTATTTTCGCATTCATTCTTTATTTTATTGTAAAAATATAGTGGTTTTTCCTTTTTCTTTATATGATTAAATTTCTTTTTAAAAAATTTTTAGATCGAAATTGATCTTGGTAGAAAATGTCACTTTCATTCCATTTTTGCCTGTCCGATTTTAAGGCAACAAAGTTCAGAAAACAATCCACCTATGAGACTTGTTTGTGGTCATGTGATATCAAGGGATGCTCTCCACAAATTAGCAAATGGAAACAAGTACTATCACATTTTAATTGCTTTTTAATTATTAAATTTCTTTGTATTCAGTCAAATACTTGTTAAAGTATTTTTTAAAGGTTACTTTAAGAGGACATGTGCTTAGTTAAATGTGTTGTAAAGTTTTTAAATCCAAAATATCTCCACTTTTTAAAATTTTCTTCACTTACTAACTTTCTTAATCTGCAAGCATACCAAATTAGAAAATAAGAGGCTTTCAACTTATAGTTTTACTTATAAGTTAAACGCTATGTTATAATTGGAAAATGATGGGCTTTCAACTTATTAATTTTAAGTTGAAATTGCCATATTTTCCAACTTATAAGTTAATGTTTTGGACCCCAAAAATTTCTCAAATATCTAAAGTTCTTAAAACATAGTATATGAATTGGAACACCTTTAGGCCTGGACAATAATTTTAATTAGAGTGAGTAATTTTTGTATTAGCATCTTGATTTATTTTCTATATTTCAATCGTTGTATTGCATTACAAAAAAAAAAAAATTTGTTCGGAGTCTTGACATCATTTCTAAAATCAACTATCTATAAACAACTTCTATACTAAAATAATGCACAATGCTTTTTTTTTAAAAAAAAATTTACTAGCAATAAATTGTAAGTCACTGTTGGGATTAAGTTTTAATTTATTTATATCGACTTGATACCATTGTGATTTTTGAAGAAAAAAATTAACCAAAATTTTAGTATTTAAAATCAGTTACAAAGCTGAAAAGAGTGATTTTTTATTTTTGAAAAATTTAAGTCATTTATGGAAAACTGAACATTATAATATGTATAAAATTATAGCAATTTGAGGTAGTGATGAAAGTTGGACAGAGAAGAGAAAAAACCCAGCAGTAAAGCAATTTCATTTATAGCTGGTTCTCGGGAGAAGTAAATAAGTTCTTACTACTCTTAATTACAAATTGTTCACTATTACTTACTTTTTCTGAGACTAGAAAAGTCATATACGTTATAACTGTTAATGGATATTTAAATCTTCTACAAAACAAGCTAGAATGAAATGGTTTCTTATCTTGTTTTGCTCTTTTCCATTTTAATATACATGTACAGTCAGATCTCGATATAAGGTCACCCTAAGGGACATCACAAAAGTTACCTTATAAGTGGGGTGACCTTTTAACAGATTCATTAGCAATTCATAACTAAGCATGTAAATAGTACACATTATGATTTTTTAAAAATGGTAATACAAACGAAAGCGATCAGCCATAAATTAAATATTTAAGTCAATCAATTTTAACAGAATTAGTAATAATTAAAGAAAGTTAGATTTTTGAAATTTTTTTTAATTTAAAATAAAGCTGTTTACAAATTTCCTCAAAGTGTACATACATACATTACATCTTACCTTATTTGAAATAATCATTTATGCAGGTGCGTCTCGTTTTTGGTTTCATTTTTTGAACAATGTTTTCTAGATTTTGTAACTTCTCAAAATGTTCCTCAACTCCCTCATGGTTTGTAAAAAAAATTTGTATGGCATTTATTGCATTGAAGGCTTTCCTTTGGGTTACAGCTACAATCTCATGATCACTGCCATTATCCACAACTTGTGAAACAATTTCAGAAATTATTGCTTCAGAAGTGGTGGCAATTTTCTCATCAATCAAACCATATTCAGCTTCCCCTTCAATGGCATGGGCACGATTTTTCAAATCTTCCATCAGAACAGATAGAGGAATATCGTCTTCTTCGGTTCCGTCATTCACGATATTCAGAGAACTCACAAAACCAGCATGACGAAAACAATTTGCTATGCATGTGGTAGACACCATGTTACGCATCAGATAAAAATGACCTTATAAACGATAACGATTTTTTAAACTTGACCATATGTCCGATAATCTGTAACAAAGAATTCCTATTCAGTGATCCAGGACTTTGGAAAAGTGACCTTATATGCGGGGTGACCTTATATCGAGGTCTGACTGTAATATATGTATTTTAATCAGGGTTCGCCAAGTGGGCCCACTTTGAAAAAACCCGCCCGGCTTTTATTGGGTGGGCCCACCTTGAAAATACCCACTTGGAACGATAAGTGGGTTTTTTCAAAAAAAAAAAAAATATTTTTTTTTTTTACTAAAACTTATTGTTTCACATTTATTTTTATATAATTTATTGTGCAGCATAAATTTGTCAAATAGAGTTGCATGATTTATATGATTAAGTTTTTAATATTAGTAAAGTAAAAGAAACTCAAATATTCATATAATTTTTATAGTAGGTGCTATTGAAAACTTCAAGTGGGTTTTTTCAAAAAAGTAATATTTTAATGATATTAAATCAAATAAAAATTTAAATAATATAGTCTGAAAAGATCAATTTTTCAACTATAGTTGCATGCTTTATATAT